GTCTCGACCATTTTGAGACTCCTAGTCATGTCCGTGATCAAATCCGGGACTCCGAACTACCTTCGGTACATCAAAACACATAAACTCATAATACCGATCATCACCGAACGTTAAGCGTGCGGACCCTACGGGTTTGAGAACTATGTATACATGACCGAGATATGTCTCCGGTCAATACCAATAGCGGCCTGGATGCTCATATTGGTTCCTACATATTCTACGAAGATCTTTATCGGTCAAACCGCATAATGATATACGTTGTTCCCTTTGTCATCGGTATGTTAATTGCTCGAGATTCGACCGTCGGTATCTCAATACCTAGTTCAATCTCGTTACCGGCAAGTCTCTTTACTTGTTCCGTAATGCTACATTCCGTAACTAACTCATTAGCTACATTGCTTGCAAGGCTTATAGTGATGCACATTACCGAGAGGGCCCAGAGATACCTCTTCGACAATCGGAGTGACAAATCCTAATCTTGATTCATGCCAACTCAACAAACACCATCGGAGACACCTGTAGAACACCTTTATAATCACCCGGTTACGTTGTGACGTTTGGTAGCACACAAAATGTTTCTCCGGTATTCGGGAGTTGCATGATCTCGTAGTCATAGGAACATGTATAGTTATGGAGAAAGCAATAGCAACAAACTAAACAATCATCGTGCTAAGATAATGGATGGGTCAAGTCAATCACATCATTCTCTAATGATGTGATCCCGTTAATCAAATGACAACTCATGTCTATGGTTAGGAAACATAACCATCATTGATTCAACGAGCTAGTCAAGTAGAGGCAAACCAGTGACACTCTGTTTGTCTATGTATTCACACATGTACTAAGTTTTCGGTTAATACAATTCTAGCATGAATAATAAACATTTATCATGATATAAGGAAATATAAATAACAACTTTATTATTGCCTCTAGGGCATATTTCCTTCAATAGAGTCATATTTTGTTCTAGTATCGAGTTGTAATTTTTGAGTTGTAAGTAAATAAAAGTGTGATGATCATCATTATTAGAGCATTGTCCCAAGTGAGGAAAGGATGATGGAGACTATGATTCCCTCACAAGTCTGGATGAGACTCTGAACAAAAAAGGAGAAAGGCCATAAAAAAGAGAAGGCCCCAAAAAAATGAGAGAAAAAGAGAGAAAGGACAATGCTACTATCCTTTTACCACACTTGTGCTTCAAAGTAGCACCATGATCTTCAGGATAGAGAATCTCCTATGTTGTCACTTTCATATACTAGTGGGAATTTTACATTATAAAACTTGGTTTGTATATTCCAATGACGGGCTTCCTCAAAATGCCCTAAGTCTTCGTGAGCAAGCAAGTTGGATGCACACCCACTTAGTTTCTTTTTGAGCTTTCATACACTTATAGCTCTAGTGCATCCGTTGCATAGCAATCCATACTCACTCACATTGATATCTATTGATGGGCATCTTCATAGCCCATTGATACGCCTAGTTGATGTGAGACTATCTTCTCCTTTTGTCTTCTCCACAACCATCATTCTATTTCACCTATAGTGTTATATCCATAGCTCACACTCATACATTGCGTGAAGATTGAAAATGTTTGAGAACACCAAAAGTATGAAACAATTGCTTGGCTTGTCATCGGGGTTGTGCATGATTTAAATACTTTGTGTGGTGAAGATAGAGCATAGCCACACTATATGATTTTGTAGGGATAGTTTTCTTTGGCCATGTTATTTTGAGAAGACATGATTGCTTTGTTAGTATGCTTGAAGTATTATTATTTTCATGTCAATATTAAACTTTTGTCTTGAATCTTTTGGATCTGAACATTCATGCCATAATAAAGAAAAAATACATTGAGAATTATGCTAGGTAGCATTACACATCAAAAATTCTGTTTTTATCATTTACCTACTCGAGGACGAGCAGGAATTAAGCTTGGGGATGCTTGATACGTCTCCAACATATCTATAATTTTTTATTGTTCCATGCTATTATATTATCTGTTTTGGATGTTTAATGGGCTTTAATTTACCTTTTTATATTATTTTTGGCACTAACCTACTAACCACAGGCCCAGTGCAAATTGTTATTTTTTTTGCCTATTTCAGTGTTTCGCAGAAAAGGAATATCAAACGGAATCCAAACGGAATGAAACCTTCAGGAGAGTTATTTTTGGAACAAACGTGATCCAGGAGATTTGGAGTGAGAAGCGAGGAGGCCACGAGGCAAGAGGGCGCGCCCCCACCCTCGTGGGCCCCTCGCAGCTCCACCGACATACTTCTTCCTCCTATATATACCCATATATCCCGAAAACATCGAGGAGCACCACAAAACCCTATTTCCACCGCCGCAACCTTCTGTACCCGTGAGATCCCATCTTGGGGCCTTTTCCGGTGCTCCGCCGGAGGGGGAATCGATCACAGAGGGCTTCTACATCAACACCATACCTCTCCGATGATGTGTGAGTAGTTTACCACAGACCTTCGGGTCCATAGTTATTAGCTAGATGGCTTCTTCTCTCTCTTTGGATCTCAATACAAAGTTCTCCTCGATTCTCTTGGAGATCTATTCGATGTAATTCTTTTTGCGGCGTGTTTGTCGAGATCCGATGAATTGTGGGTTTATGATCAAGATTATCTATGAACAATATTTGATTCTTCTCTAAAATATTTTATGCATGATTTAAATATCTTTGCAAGTCTCTTCGAATTATCAGTTTGGTTTGGCCTACTAGATTGATCGTTCTTGCAATGGGAGAAGTGCTTAGCTTTGAGTTCAATCTTGCGGTTTGCTTTGGGCCCGAACTCGTAAAATCCGTGTGTCACACTTGCGCCATAGTTAGGATCAACCCTTATTCGTACCCCTACTTCTTACTGTCAGAATAATCCCCACAACACCACGCTTGTCGAGATAACAGTGCTAGATTGAATACCTCAAGGTCCCCAAAGACCAAGCCTCCAAGGTTTTGGGGCGTGTCATCACATCTCAAGATACACATAGTTTCCGTCTGCCATGTTTGCTACCGCATCAAAACTATCGTATGATTAATGTTACATTTTCATAGAGACCCCTGGGTATCCTGAAACATGCCATAGAATAAATTGGAATAGTTTGAGCCATTGAGTTTACAAGAACTTCCTTCCTTGCAACAAATAAACAGGAAATACAAAGAGGAAAGTATCATTTCCCCCCTCAAATCCTTTATGATGGATCAAATCCCCCCTCAAGTCTAAAACCGGATTAATCACCCCCTCAAATCTGTAATACCGGATCAATCAGGCCCCGAGCGGTTTTGAACAAGATTTTAGGTGGTTTTGATAGGAACTGCAAGATTTCTAACTTGTCGGCGTCGCCGACGACGTGGAAATTTTCTAGGATCTCGGCACCGGCGACGTGCTCCCCCGTCCGACCCCTTATTCTAGGGGAATCTGGCTCAGAAGGATCGCCGACGCGTACTTCGGCTCGACGCACATGTTCGGGAGGCGAGCTCCCCGAGGAGGAAGACAGCCATATGCAAAACCTGCGCGCTGACAGAGTTGAAGAGGACCTCCACGAAGCCATTGATCAGGGCGGCAGCCTCGCGCCAGAGTCGCCCGATCCTGCAGGCGCATGTTTTATGCATGCTTGATGACCAGGCAATCTGAACCAGTTACATATGCAGTGCAGACATGATCAATCAGTCTAATTTCCTGATTATGCAACTCACATCGGGCAGCACAACACGGGATAGGATTCCCAACATTCTTCTCAAGTAACCTGACAGTCTTAACATGTGTACATACTTCAGTCCAATCCACAAGCGATTGCAGCAGACCCACCAATTCAGGTCCTATTAAAAAAATCAGTTCAACTAGATTCCCAGCACAAGTGATTTCTTTAGATTAACACACATGCTCGTGCGCCAGTTGTTTGGACAGGGCTGCCATTGTCACGGACGAGGACTTGGAAGACGCAACCTAAATCGGCTATGGAGGTTGTGCACGGCGATCCAATTGGAGGAGCATGATATGGCTCACACTGGCCGACAACTATGCTGCGGCTGACCCCGATATGGCTCACACCGGCCGTCTACTTCCTCACCAACACGCAAGCGCAGACCATGTTCGTGCAGCAGGGCACGAGGACGGACTCCCACATCACGGGCAGCGCCGCCGACGTCCATCGAGACGGTGCTCGTCGCCACCTGCGTCACGATCATAACAGGGCCGTCGCATCATCCGTGGCGTTCGCGCCGCTGCGGCTCATGGGGATCGGGCACGCGACGGCGACTGGCACAGTGGCCACCATGGCCGCGTGCGCCGAGACGCGCAGGCTGCAGATGGCGGCACAAATGGGCATAGCGTGGCTACTGCTGCAGTACGTCATGATGGACACGTGGAGAATGAGCTGGTAGCAAAGTCCTCGACGGGCTCGCTCGCCGCCACCCGACAAGTTCGAAATCGTGCGATTCTTCTCCAAAACCACCTAAAATCCTGCTCAAAACCACTCGGGGCCTGATTGATCCGGTATTACAGATTTGAGGGGGTGATTAATCCGGTTTTAGACTTGAGGGGGGATTTGATCCATCATGAAGGATTTGAGGGGGAAAACGATACTTTCCTCAAATACAAATGCCTAGTAACCTTATGCAGGACCAGGCCTGTCTGGATATGGAAAGTTACAATACGATTGGGCCACCTTCTAGTTATCACAGCCCAGCCCAAACCAAAAGACCTCTCATCATCTTCTGCACAACAAGGCCTGTTTAGCCGACCCTCAAAAAAAAAAAAAACAAGGCCTGTTTAGCCGACTTGGAGCCCAACTACGACCTCCAAAACCCTAATCCTCACGACGGACGGTCAGAGCAGCCCGTGCCCACCCCACCCCGCATCCAACGCTCCGTAAGCTTCCTTCTTATCGAACTAGCCCTTATAAAGGCGCCGCCTGGCTTCCGAACCGCGTCTCCCCCGCCTCCGTCTGCCCCCTCGCCGTCGCTCCGCTGACCTCAACCAGCCGCCGGCGAAATGGTACGCTCCATGTCTTTCCTCACCCGTCCGGTCCATTCAAAATCTCGCTTCGTAATTGGAGCGGGGATGTTTCGTGATGCTTTCTTGGGGCATCCTCGGGCTACTTCACTTGGATCTTTGCCGCTGCGGTGCGAGCCACTGATTATCGTCGCTTGATCCGAATCTTGCAGGCCCCTAAGCGAGGCGGCAAGGCGCCGGTCCCGGCGAAGAAGAAAACGGTGCGCCTCCGCTCACTGAAACCTCTCTGCTTCCCTTCGATCCGTTCTGTTCTTAGTGCGGTTCGCTGATATGTTGGTTGCTGGTACAGGATAAGGTGACCAACCCGCTGTTCGAGAAGAGGCCGAAGCAATTCGGTATCGGCGGCGCCCTCCCGCCCAAGAAGGACCTACACCGCTTCGTTAAGTGGCCCAAGGTTGTGCGCATCCAGCGCCAGCGCCGCATCCTCAAGCAGCGCCTCAAGGTGCCCCCGGCACTCCACCAGTTCACCCGCACCCTCGACAAGAACCTTGGTATACATACAACCTAAATGTTTATTATGATGTGTTTTTCTGTTTTGTCCATGCTAAGCTAGTACTGATGAAGTAGGAACTAGGATAGCTACTAGACACAATCCTTCGTGCAACAGACTCGAATCTTAGATTACGTTCTCACTTGTGGGTCTATAGTTTTCTCTCATTTGCGGATGTTGTGCACATGACAACCTACTTAAGTAGTCACACCTATTTAGTTACCAGCTGTATGTTAACTTATGTCATTGGTTTAGGCCTTGGTAGCATCTCCAAGCTTTTTTAGCGACATTTGAGGCATGCAATGGTAGTTCTAGACTTACGACCCTGTGATGTCAATACATCCAAACTGTTTGATGGTTGTTTATATTCTAAAATGAATAATTTTTGCTTGTGTTTTGCACAAGTTGTGATGTCGATTGAAATCAGAATTATGTGCATGGCCACCACTGGTGCTGTGATTTGGATTGAATGTTCAATCTAATTTTGAGTTTGGGTCTAAAAGAAAATATATCTACATGTACTAGGCCTAATAATATTTATTGCAGTACTTATTTATTTAATTTGGGAGGGTCATACCCTGGTAGCCCAGTTTGTCTTGTCAAGGATTGAATTAATCAAACAAAGACTGCAAGATGTTTTTACCGATCCCAACTAGTTTCATAAAACTTAAAAGCTCCTCTGTTGAACTGTATTAAGGAGTAATGGAGGTGTATATCATTAAAACATTCTACAACTTTTGTAAATCATCTTATGGCATTGTGGATAGTTCTGACTGATTATGTTGTTTGTTGTAATGTTCTGTTAAGTGCATACCACCTTCAATCCCCTGCTATTCTCTGTTAACTGACCAACTTTCAAACTTCTATTTCAGCAACAAACTTGTTCAAGATGCTTCTTAAGTACCGGCCTGAAGACAAAGCTGCCAAGAAGGAGAGGCTTCTAAAGAGGGCCCAGGCTGAAGCTGAAGGGAAGACTGTTGAGGCCAAGAAGCCAATAGTTGTTAAGTATGGCCTTAACCATGTTACCTACCTAATCGAGCAGGCATGTTCTTCTGCTTTCCTTTGTTATTTGCATTGGCAGCTGATAGACTTATCTTGCACTTTGTTGACAATTCAAGTTTGTATGCCTTCTTGCAGAGTAAAGCCCAGCTGGTTGTCATAGCTCATGATGTTGATCCGATTGAGCTGGTTGTGTGGCTCCCTGCTCTTTGCAGGAAAATGGAGGTCCCTTACTGCATTGTCAAGGGAAAATCTCGCCTTGGATCGGTATAGTTTCTGCTGCTACCTACTTGTGTGTGTTAGTGTTATCTATTGAACACAAGGATCTAATGGATAATTTCTATAGATTGTTCACAAGAAGACTGCCTCTGTTCTGTGCCTGACCACAGTGAAGAATGAGGATAAGCTTGAGTTCAGCAAGATCCTTGAGGCTATTAAGGTTTGTGGGGCTATGATTTCATTTGTTTGTATTGTTTTTTTTTCCATCTTTGCTGCTTACTTGTCAACTAACCGTTTATTGACTAATTCACAGGCGAACTTCAACGACAAATTTGATGAGGTTAGGAAGAAGTGGGGTGGTGGTGTCATGGGCTCCAAGTCGCAAGCGAAGACCAAGGCCAGGGAAAGGCTTATCGCAAAGGAGGCTGCGCAGCGGATGAACTAAGTTTAGCATTGTTAAACCATATCTATTGCTCATCCTTGAGTAGTGTGCAAGCATACTGTGGCTGTTTGGCTTCAGTTTTGAAAGTCATTTTTGTTTGTCCGAGACATGTTGGAAAGAACAGTGTAAGAAGGAAGTATTTTTGTTTAATGCCAGCTAGTATCCATGATCAAGCTCATTGGTTATGTGTGTGTATTAAAGGAATGTGACCACTGGGAAATTGAATTTAGGGCCCCTTTGATTTGTAGGATTTCCAAAACACAGGAATAGGGAAAACCTGGGATTCTTTCAAAGAGGTTTGAGGCCTCTTTTGGTTTGTAGGATTTTTGTAGGATTTGCAAAGGAAAAATTCTTTTGAAGCCTTTGGTTTGTAGGAATGGATCCTATTCCTATGTAGGATAGGAATCGATCCTTCATGTTTTGAAGGAAAAAAAACAATAGCCTATCCTAAGCATCAAATGACATCTTTTTCTTTATAGGAATTGACATGCATGCCATCTCATTTTTTATGATTTTTTTATTCTTATCCTATGAATCAAAGAAGGCCAAGTGAATGGAAAATTTCTTATGAAATCTAGTGTGAATGAATCCTATGAAAAAATGCCTATGGTTTACAATCCTAAGAATCAAACAACCCACATAAGCAAAGTTCTTAAGGATTAGAATCCTCCAAAATGCTCATTAGGCCAACTTCAAGGCACGACCCTAAATGGGGGAACTGTCCGCCTTAAACCTGATCAATTTATGTAAACTACGACAAGAAGTTTGTAAAACTAACCTTGGCCCAAAACTAACACACTTCATAGAGGGTGTATAATGTACTCTGTGCTCATTAGACCAACTCCAGGCACAACCCTAAATGACGCACAATCCTAAGAGCATCTCCCAGCCGTTTAGGACCATCTCTAAAATCAGTCAAACACGACACAATTTCGTCCGGACTAAGCGATTTCATTGATATTTGACTATTTGTACAAAAATTTAAAAACACAAACTAAAAACGACAACTACGCCTAGCCACCGCCGCCTTCTGCCTTCTACATGCCGAGCAGCCTGTAGAATCGGGTATAGTCGCCGTCATCATCGACGCCGTGCTGGGTGCCGCCGCCGTCCCTATTGCACCCCTGACCAGCATCGTCGATGCGCGGGGGGTTGGACGTCCCGGGCGCTTCCTCGTCGTCGCTGTCGAGGATGACGTCGCCGCCCTCCGCGTGTCCGCGACGCCGAGCGGCCATCTCCTCGAAGGCCCGGCGCTGGCGCTCCATCTGCTCGTGGACGTAGTCCGCCTTCGTCCACTTGACGGCGATCTCGTCATCGGTGGCCATGGCCTCGTGCTCCTTCTTCACGGGGAGCAAGCCCGGCTCGGTCTTCGGCCTGACGAGGCAGTAGGACGAAGGAAAGGGCGGCCGCCCTCGTTGATGACGAGGCCGCCGCCGCGGGTGCGCGCCCAAGTGGCGTCTAGGCTTGCAGTTTTGTAGTTGTCCCAGTTACATGTCCTCCCACAACTCACAACTCGGCCCGTAGTTTTGTTGTTGTCCCTGTTCCTCCGACTCACAACTAGGCCTTTTGTTTTGCTAGTTGCAAGTGCACCCTCAACTTGCAACTGACATCGTAGTTTTGTGTAGTTCTCCCAGTTGCGAGTTAATCCTCGACTCGGAACTAGGTCGTTGTTTGTTTTCATGCCAGTTGCAAGTCCACCTCGACTTGCAACTTGGGCCATGGTTTTGTTGGTGTCCCTTTTGTAAGTCCAATCTATGACTCGCAACTAGGTCGTTTGTTTTCATTCCGGTTGCAAGTCCACCCTCGACTCACGACGGACATCTTAGTTTTGTGTAGTTATCCCAGTTGCAAATCCACCCTTGACTCGCAACTAGGTATGTTGTTTGTTTCATCCTAGTTGCAAGTCCACCTTCGACTCGCAACTCGGCTCGTAGTTTTGTAGTTGTCTCGGTTACAAATCCACCCTCGACTCGCGACTGGGCCTATAGTTTCGTTGTTGTCCCTGTTGCAAGTCCACCCTTTAACTAACAACTGGGTCGTTTGTTTTGCCAGTTGCAAGTGCACCCTCGACATGCAGTTGGCATCGTAGTTTTGTGTAGTTGTCCCAGTTGCAAGTCCATCCTCGACTCACAACTAGGACCTAGTTTGTTTTCATCCCGGTTGCAAGTCCACCCTTGACTCGTAACTAGGGGCAAGGTTTTGTTGTTGTCTCAGTTGCAAGTCCAGCCTCTGACTCACCACCAGTCCATTTATTTCAATCCCAATTGCAAGTTCACCATCGACTCACAACAGGCATCGTAGTTTTGTGTACATGTTCGAGTTGCAAGTCCAACCCCAACTCGCAACTAGGCCCATAGTTTTTTTTCCTCTTGTTGCAAGTCCACTCTCGACTTGCAACAGGGACTATAGTTTATTTGTTAAAATTCTTTTTGTTTTTTTCTTTATTTCCTTTCCTTTTTATTTTTTTATAATTCCTAAATCCTTTTCAAATTATGAATATTTTGGAAATTTATGAACATATTTTTTTGAATCGGCGAACATTTTTTGAATCTGCGAACAAAATTTGAATATCGTGAATATTTTTCTACTCCATGAACATTTTTTGAATGCACAATCAATTGTTCAGTATGAATTTAAAATAATTCAATGCATACTATAAAATTGTCACCACCATATATTAAAAGGAAGCTCATCGTATCTCAAAAGAGGTTAAGTGTGTACTAAAAAATGTTCAGTGCATATTAAAGAAATGGTCATCGTGTATAATTAAAAAAGTCCATCATACTACAAAAACTTAGTGTATGTTCAGCAAATGGTCACCATATGTTAAAGGATTGTTCACCCTATATTAAAACAATTTTCGTATTCGTTAAAAAATTCCAATTTGAAAACATTCATGTAAATTCATAAATAATTTTTTTCGTGAAAAATGCAAAAAAGATAAGGGGAAAACAACAACAAATCATTGTTAGCCTATTACTCCCTCCGTTCCGAATTACTTGTCTTAGATTTGTCTAGATACGAAGATATCTAGCACTAAAATGAGTCTAGATACATCCGTATCTAGACAAATCCAAAACAAGTACTCCCTCCGTTTGGAATTACTTGTCTCGGAAATGAATGTATCTAGAACTAAATTACATCTAGATACATCCATTTTCACGACAAGTAATTCCGAACGGAGGGAGTAATTCGGAACGGAGGGAGTAGAAGCTAGCGACCAGAGACATACTTGTAAAAGTATGCTATCGGACGCATAAACTACATCCAGCACTGCATCGCGTACGTTCATTCCCAATTCAAACCACGCCACGGCGCAGCTGCACCATCGCACATGCATTGTGCAGAGCTAGCGATGAGATATACGTTAAGGCCGGTCACACGGGCGGACGTGCTGGACGAGCTGGTTTTTTGGGGGCTTTGACAAATTCAATCAAACAAACAAGACAAAAAATAAGATAACATTGACGCCATATTTAGATGTGAGATATTATCTCACATCGAGATGTAACATAGACGGACCCTATAAACTACAGACATGATTATGAATTCGTATCACACTTCCTGCAACAAAATACTCCCTCCTGGCTTTGAAGCAACGGAAAAAACCGAATGCATATGTTGGCAGCAAGCGATAATGTTCCCCTTGGCGTTTCATTCCATCTTTTGGTTCTTTCAATCGTTGTCTCGCGTGGCAAGGACGCGCAAGTGGCACCAACGGAACAAAACCAGCCCTGCCGTACCTCATAATTGGCCACAATCTTGGCCCATACCTTCTTTCCGTGTGATATCCCCATTCCGTGGAGTTTTGCTAAATAGCAGGAAATTGTGTGCGTACGTTCAAGTGTTGTCTGGGTTCGTTAGCATATGTTTTTTGAGAGAAGTTTGTCAGCATATGTGTGACAACGTGCGCGCGCGCGCGTGTTTGTTTGTGTGTTTAGAGAATGCGACAGTGTGTGTGAGAGATCCACAGTGGCAGAAATTATTAGCAATGAAGTTATTCTTTTTCGAGACCCCGTAAAGAAAGGTTTCATTTTGAGTAAAATTAGCATCCGCAGGCCTCCGAAATCTCTCGTGGAGCATACCGTGGGCCACGCTTCGGCCACCCAACGTGACGTGACCTTTTTCGGCGCAAGGACGGCGCACGGTCTGGCCCATGCATGTTGGCCCAAAAATGTGAGGCTCGCGAACGCTATGGATAACGACTTTCCCAACAAGCACGGAGGATCAAACGGGAATGATGATGCAGATCTAACAGCTTGGGCAGGAGCGAGGAAAATATCTTGAGCCGAACACTCTTTTTCTAGAGCCAGCGGCTTTTCAGCAGAAACGTGAGGCTCGTAGATAGTGTCGACCACGCCGCTTTCCCGACAACTAAATTCTCGTTTTCACGAAGTCTCGTGACAGATGAAGAAAAAAAAACACTGTTAAAACTGACACTCTTTATTTACCGCCTGAGAGTGAAGGGCGCGTCCTGTAAAAACTGCTGGAGTGAGTGAGGCTCTGCTCTGAGCATCCACAGGCGCGAGAAATTCACCGAGAAGATGCCAAAGCAGGAAGGAAAAGCGACGGCCCAACTTGCGAACTGTGGTCACTTTCCTCCGGACACGGCTGAGTCACGGCGTGCCCATAGGCTCCGAGCAGCTCACGTGCCGCCTACATGCACGCGAGGGACCAACGCATATTCACCTTGGGCGCCGAGACGCCCCGCTGAACCGAGATTGTTTTTCTGCGGATACGGAGGAGAAGAGAGGGTCGAGATAGGACGAAAGAGGCTGCAGATTAACGTTGTTTTCCCTGGCTCGCTCCTTGAGCAGTGCGTCGGCCCTGTCTTTGCCCCAGCCTGCCCTAGCTTTCCTCTTCGGGGACCGTTCTTTGTTTCTGGTTGTTCGCTCGATGGAGATCGTTTCCTTTTCCTTCTTGCTCTCGCAACAGTCTCGCTTGATTGGTGGCGTGATGAAATCCTGGCCAGATTCAGAGGGACGGCACGATCGATGATGTAC